AGGGAGTGCACCAGCGCCTGTGGTGTACCGGTTAGACGCTTCGCCGTTGCATGCAGAAGAACCGAGCTCGATTCCTAGGTGGGGAGATTTTTGTGGAGTATCTCTGTCTTTCTGCTGGGATACTGTACTCCTCTAAGCAGATAAGCAGAGGTTGTCACTGACAGGCAGGGTCGAAGCGGGGCTCTTAGGCAAGGCGCGCACAGGGCAATTTTAGTTGCGCAAGAGTTGCTGTCTCCGTGCAACTTAATTTATACACCGCGCGCAAAGAGCTAAGCAACAGGCAGGCAACAGTAGGCTATAATCATTACTGACTTCCTCATTTGACGCCCTGGACTTCCACGACGCAGTTGTTGTCTGTGCTCTTGTGATTGCACTTAGAAAGAAAATAAGGAGACAGTGGTTTTGGTTGCATCCTTTCACCAGTCAGAGGGTTTTAAAATAGCATTATGTCAAACTGCATGAAGATTTGAGAGTATACCCTCCCAAGTTTTCTAACTATTATCATATGAAGTCTTGTTGTTGAGGACAGGCTTCTTTTCAATGATAAAAATACATTTTTTAAAATCTGAGTGGGATCGCTATCCATTTTCTTTCCTTGTGAAAGTGAAACAATGCATTAGGTCGTGTACCGCTGTCAAGTCTGTTGCGCTGAGTGAAAAAGTGTGGGGGACTGGCGAGGCCTTGTCAAGTCCGGAGACAGTTTGGTTGCCTGTGCGCTCGAGGTGTCAGTTCTATAGGTAGGGCAATGCCCTTTTTTGGTGTAGGTCAAGATTTATGGAAACCCTTGAAATCTGGTTAGCCCGCTTGCCCTTAAAAGCGAGCAATTAAACCCTCCGGTTCACAAAGAACTAACAAAAGCAACAACTCGTGTATAATGTTGCGCTCTGTACATCTCTGAACTCAACCTCTCATGGTTCACCATCAACAGAATAGTTGACATCCTTATTGTGCTTCCTTGGCCAAAAAAAAGGGAAGGGGTGCTTATTGGATGGAAAGTGCCAAAGAGGATTCTCTTGCTGAACCAATGTGTGCGTGCCTAAAGAAAGGTACCAAAAGTCGGATTTTGACCATTTTCAGTTAAGGGTTGTACCTAATAGGAAATTCAATGCTGAAAGCAGTGGGTTTTTTTAATTTTTGAGATATCTCAAGTAGTTTTTTGAGATATTGCACATTTTGTGAGGAGAGGTATAGATATCTAATTTTGAGAAAATTAGCTTTAAAATTTAAAACACATACTAGCTTGAAAAAAACCCCGATGATTACATTATTTCCAATGTATTTGTTCATGGAAAATTCATTTCCAATTTGGCATTCAGTTGACGTCAATATCATGATTAAAATTAAATGGTAAAACGTAACGAGCAGGGAAGAAAAAACATGCTTCAAGAATAGATTTTAACACCTTTTAAAAGCAGTTTTCATTATCTCTTTTAAAAAATACCCTAGTCTCAAAATTATTCAACATAAAATATTCAGAAGTTAAATCAATGAAAATACATTGTTACAAAACGGCGGAATTATTATTTTTTAAAAATAAAAACACATTTTGGTATTTAAAAAAAAGATTTTTTGGTCATAATCAGCCTGTAGCTCAAAATGATCTATGGCGACTTTTGGTACCTTTCTTTAGGCAGACACACCAAACTTTAAATTATGTCTTGAACTCATGTGGCGAATCCCGAGTTGGGAGAAACTGTCATCAAGTATCTTATTGACCTTTCTGCTGAGAATGAGATCATGTTGTATCTATCTCAGCCCGTGCTGGCCCTGTCAGGCAGGGTTGGAAGCCCGCCTCCCTAATGATGGTTTAGTTTAGTTTAGTTTTAATAGAGGTTTTACGGCGCTCGCAACTGCATAAGGTCATTTGAGCGCCAGAAGATTAGAGCTGTCACAAGAGAGTAACAAACATAAAAAAGATGGGGAGAAAAGGACGATAGATGCTTAATAGAAATGAAGAAGCAAACCACACCAGATCACCTGCTAACCACCACTCCCTAATGATCTTAAATTGTGTCCATCTCGGCGTAAAAGCATCTGCTGTATTATTTTATAAATCCTTCCTTGACGTCCCCAGACGACCAGCGACCCGCAGTCCAGGTACCTCCTCAAGGCAGACTCGTACGCCGCGCTCCAGTCGCTTGTACCAGTGTTGGGATCCAGGATCAACAATGGTGAGCAATTTTGGGGAGGTACCGTCCAGACTTTCTATGTCCCCGTTGTTTTAAGCAAGAAAAATTCTGAAATTATGCAAACTGAGCCCAAAAATGTGAAATTATGTGATTCTGTTAGTTTTAACAAAGTATGATCAAGGAAAACAATCAGAAATTATGCAAAAATGATCAAATTTTGCTATATTACCCGAGGTACTTAAAGCTACGGGGACAGTTCTATCTACCAACCCCAATTTGTGATTTCTTCAAAACAGCAGACCTTTTACAGAAATCGGCTGAAGTTGGCTGTCAGTCAACACACACACACACACACACACACACACACACAA